TAGAAGATATTTTCATTGGGTATAGAATTCTACAGGGTCAGTATCACCATTTCAGTACTTTAAAGATATCGGTCCATTATGTTCTTGCTTGCATTGTTTCTGATGAAGAATCTGCTGAAATCCTTGTTGTTCCTCTGTGCAAAATGTGACATTTTTCTGGGGCTTCTTTTAGGATTTTCACTCTATATCTAGTTATGAGACATTTATAGTGTTCCTTGGTATAGTTTTCTACATTATTTATTGTGGATAGGGATTTTTTTTTTAAGATTCTTATATCCATTTGTTTCCATAAAACTTGGAATCCTTAGGCCATTATTTCCCTACCTTTCTTCTGCTCTACTACTATAATCACACATTAGAGTGCTTCAAGTTGTCCCATAGCTCACCAATGTCCCATTAATTTCTTCCCAATCTTTTTATTTTCTGTATTTCAGATAAATCCTATTTCTATCTCTTTAAGTTCGCTAATCTTTTCTTCTGCAAAGCCTAATTTGTCATTAATCCCTTTCATTATATTTTTTATCTCACCTCACACATTGTAGTTTCTATCAATAGAAGTTTCAGTTTCATCCTCCATGTCTATCCTTAACTTTTTGATCATATGAAAAATATTTATAATAGCTGTTTGATTGTCCTTTTTGGCTAATTACAAGATTTGTGTCAGTCTGAATCAGTTTCTATTAATTGCTTTGTTCTTTCATTGTGAGTCAACTCTCTTTTCTTTGCATGCCTGCTAATTTTTTATTGGCTACAAGACTTTGTGAATTTTACCTTTATGGGTGCTGAATGTATTCTTATAAATATTTGTAAGCTTTTTTTTTTTCCTGGGATATAGCTACATTACTTGGAAACAGTTTGATTCTTTAGGTCTTTTATAATAAATTATAAAATTTAGTATATGAAATAAGAAGCGTGTTTTATCTAGAGTTAATTATCCCTCATTACTGAGGCAAGAACCTTCTGAATACAACATTCTATGAACTGTGAGACCTTGCAGTCAGGTTGTTGAACACAGGTACTATTATCAGCTCTATGTGAACACTAGGTACTGTTTCTTCTAATCCTTTCAAATGGTTCTTTCCCCAGACTTAGGTAGTTTCCTTGGACATATGCACTGATCAGTTCTCAGCTGAAACTCAAGGGGCATTTTGAAGATCTTTGAAGTTCAAAATCTGTAGAGTTCTCTTCTCTCATATAATCTGTCCTGTGAACTCTAGCCCCACTGGTATTCCTGGACACAGCCTCATCTCCTCTAGCCAGGAAGTCCACCATATTCTACTTGGTTTACTTCTTTCTGTGCCATAGCCTCAAAACTCTCTTAAGGCAACAATCTGGGGCAATAATGGGGTTCTCCACATTTGTTTCCTGTCTCTCATGTATCACTCTCTTTCGTTGCCTAAAATCCAGTGTCTTGAAAAGCTCTGTTTCATATATTTTGCCTGTTTTTCTGTTGTTTTAGGCAGGAAGGTAAATCTGGCCAGAAACAGAACTCTAACAGTAATGATTTTAAAAATTATTACTCTAAAATGAAAACAGGATATCAAAGAGATATCTGCACTCTTATGTTTATTACAGCATTATTCACAACAACCAAGATATAGAAATAACCTCAGTGTCTATCAATGGGATGCATGGATATATATATACATATATATCATATGATATGCATATGATATATATGGGATATCATTTGCCAGGAAAAAGAAGGAAATCCTGCTATTTGTGATAATATGGATAAAACTTGAGGGCATGATGCTAAGTGAAATAAGTCAAACAGAGAAAGATAAATACCATATGATCTCATTTTTTAAAAGACGAACTCATAGAAGTGGTTACCAGTAGCTAGGGGATGGGAGAAAAGGGGAGATGCTGGTCAAAGCATACAGATGTACAGTTATAAGATAAATAAGTTCTAAGGATCTAAAGTACAGCATGGTGATTATAGTTAACCATAACATATCATATACTTGAAATGTTCCAGGAGAGTAGATCTTAAATGTTCTAACTAGAAAAAGGAAACAGTAGTTATTAGATGTGATGGAGGTGTTAGCTAATGCTACAGTGGTAATCATTTTGCAATATATAAATGTATCAAATTAATAATTTAAACTTCTACAATGTTATATGTCAATTATATATTCAATAGTGCTGGAAAAAATACTATTCCAAGGATATCATTGCCGATTTGAGTGCATTATCTTCAATGGCTCCTTCTTATCACTTCCTGGGGTTCTTAGTGTTCTTATAGCTTGAAACTACTCAAAATTGCGTGGATGTCAATCTCAGACTGTTAGAAACTAGTAATAAATTATATCACTAAATAACTTCCAGAATTTTCTGTGTATTGGACAAGCCCTCCCTATGATTCCAAAATCCTCCTGGCCTCTCCTCTTACTTCAGCCACCACTGCAATGACCAGTTGCTTTCAGAATTGGACTGGTTTTACATCGACGCAGTTGAACACTGTTTCTCCTTGGCTAGTGTCATACATGTTCTATTTCCCTCCCTGAGGCTTTTCTTCCTCTCACAGTAGGAATTCCTTCTGCATTCACACATGGACAACTAGAAAATGTGAGGGAGTTTAATACTCATAGGGTCACTCTTGATCACTGGAGAACAGGAGACAATAGATAAAGGATTCTGCCTTTGATCCCTAAACAGACAGTTCTGAGACTCATTTTTTCACACTTTACAAAAGATCCCAGTTGGATGGATTAAACACCAGTGTTCTACAATGGTGGCCAACTCTATTTGTATGTGGATTGGTTCTTTTCCTCCTTCTCTGTTCTACTTCCTTTTTAAGCACATCGGCTTTCTGAAACCATATTTCTAAATAAATTACCTGCCCACAAGCCTTAATCTTAGAAGCTGCTCTTAGGGAAGCCAGACTAAGGCAGTAGAGTATATATTTACATTTACATGCATATATCAATATATTGTAATAACCAGCTTCAGTGTGGTTATGCAATGATACTCGTGACAACTAATGTGAAATCAGTAATGGCATCCATGAGATCTCTGAAAGGTTACTGCAAATGAATGGTGAGTTTTTGAAAGTCAAATTTAAAAACCAAGTCAAGCATTTATTGAGTGCTTACATGTAAGGCATCATGTCAAACACTGAAAAATAGTAAGAAGTATGTTGTATATGGAACCAAAGAGGAAAATGTTTAGCAGAATGCTTACTTTTAAAATACAAGTTAGAACATTACTAACTAATATAACTATGTAACACTGCTAAAAAAAAGTGACATCTTCTTTTGTCTCAAAACAACGAAATAAAATAGATGAAATATATGATGCTATGGTTTTGGAAACACAAGACATCAACTAACAAAGGGCAGTGATCTCTGAGAGATAGAAAACAAATGAGACAAGCACCTGGCTGGCTCAGTCAGTAGGGCATGAAACTCTTGATCTCAGGGTCATGAATTCAAGTCCCATGTTAGCTGCAGAGCCTAGTTAAAATTAAACAACAGCAACAAATGAGACAAATTCTATTGCTTCCCAGTTTACAGCCTGGAGAGAATTTCAAAAGTGCAAAAAGAAGGATCTCAAGTAGACCCTAGCAGCCTGCCTGAATTAAGCAGACAGAACTTGGAGTTCAGAAAGGTCAAGGAGACTAGAGTTCTCAAGGCAGAGTATGAGTAAGGAGAAAACACAAAACAGAACTCCAAAGATGTGTAGAAGGTCCCACTTCAGTCTTCCACCAAGGATTGATCAGGGTATGCACAGAAAAGAAATATTTGAGGCCAACCAAAAGAGGTAACATAAAATCCATTCTCAGAGGTCATACAAGGCCAAGAATGATACCTTATATTAATTTTCAACTGCTGTGGAACAAATTACCACATACTTAGTGGATTAAAATAAAACCCATTTATAAGTTCACAGTTCTGTAAGTCTGAAGTCTGAATGTAGGCTACCTGGGTCCTCTGCTCAGGGACTCACAGACTGATGCCAGGACACTGGATGGGCTGGGTCTTTCTGGAGGCTCTGAGGCTGAATCCACTTCCAAACTTACTTGTCGTTGTAAGAATTTAGATCCTTGCCATTGTTAGGACTGAGACACCATTTTTTCATTGGCTGTCAGAAGGGGCTGCTCTGATCCTAGAGATTAATTTCAGGTCTTTACCATGTGACCCAGTCTACTTTCAAAACCAGCAAGGGATAATTTCCTTCATGTTGAGTCCCTCCCTCTTGCACATCAAATTTCTTTTGTCGGGAAGAACCTAGTCCTCTTTCAGGGCTCACCTGATTAGGTGAGGCTCACCTAGGGGAATCAACCTTTCTTGACATCAATTGTGCAGTATTTAAAAAAAAGACTTCATTCGGGGAGGGCCTATACTCATTGAGGAGGGGATTATATAAAGGTGTGGGTCACGAGGAGTCATCTTAGAATTCCACCTACCACATTCCTGTTCCCACCAGTCAGAGTAGAAAACTTCATTAATGATGGAGAATTGGGTAGAGTACTCAGAAGGTTTTTGCCTCCGTATTGTGAAAAAACTAGCCCTAGGGGCACCTGGGTGGCTCAGTGGGTCAAGCCCCTGCCTTCTGCTCAGGTCATGATCTCAGAGTCCTGGGATCGAGCCTCGTATCAGGCTCTCTGTTCCACAGGGAGACTGCTTCCCTCTCTCTCTCTGCTCTGCCTTTCTGCCTACTTGTAATCTTTCTGTCAAAAAAATAAATAAAATCTTAAAAAAAAACTCTACTGTGTTCAGTGCATTGATTTAAAAAACTAGCCCTAGACCAAACGTTGCTTTTGTCCTAACAAAGCTTAAAGGAATAATTTGAAAGGATAAAAATGTTTCCCGGTAAATTAATCAGCCTCAGAACAAAGCTCAAGAGTGTTTATAAGATCACAAACATAGGCCTTTCTGCATCGCTCATGGCAAGCATCGGGTGGGAGCAGGGGGATCCGCTCTGAGGGTTCACAGGCTACTGCTTTGTCACCTGGATCCCAACGTTGCTGAGCTCATTCCTGCTTCTTGGTCAAGAGAGGATGGTGGGGCAGAACCATAACAGCAGGTGTCTGCAGGAGTCTTTTCATCGGGTACCATATTTACTTCCACCACAAGAGACGGAGTGACCCCAGCTTCGAGAACAGGCCTCAAGAACCAAGAAACAAAAGTTTGCCAAGGAGAGAACTGGACTTCTCAAGTTACTGGACCTTAAAGATGGTGAAGCTATTCAGAAGTTCTTCCTTGAAGAAAAGTTGCCAGCTTGAGGTAAATACGAGAAGGGTGTAGACCATCTGACAAATGCAACTGCTGTGTGTGGATGGCCACAGCACTTATTGCAAGGGTTACAGCAAATTCTTCTGCCGCCAACGTTCCAGATGCTTCTGACCAAGCTTCCAACAATTAGTCAGGGAAATTGTAAGTGCTCAGAGCTTGGCTGAAGAGCATGTGGAATGAGAAACAAATGTCAACATAATAATCTCAATGAAAAATATTTTTTAAAATCTTAACTCAAGAGATGAGCCGCTCTGGGGGAATAAGGGCAAATAGTTTTGTTAAGAACTGTCCTGCACTGAAACCTACCAAAGTTAATTTTTTAAATTTAAGTTAATTTTTACTTTGTAAAAATTACTTTAAAATTTACTTAAAATTACTTAAAAATTTACTTTAAGTTTATTTTTACTTTGTATAGATTGATTTGTCTGTTTTAGTTCTTTTTCCCAGTGAAAAGTATATTTTGATAGAAAGCTTTTCATTTTATAAATATGCTATGAATTACCAAAACATGGAGTTATTTTATTACTAATATGTGCAATTATAATGTATATATAGGGGCGCCTGGGTGGGTCAGTGGGTTAAAGCCTCTGCCTTTGGCTCGGGTCATGATCCCAGCGTCCTGGGTCGTCCTGGGCTCTCTGCTCAGTAGGGAGCCTGCTTCCCCCCACCTCTCTCTGCCTGCCTCTCTGTCTACTTGTGATCTCTGTCTGTAAAATAAATAAATACAATATTTTAAAAAAATAAAATGTATATATAACATCACATTACTGTGTTAAAAATATTCAGTGTTCAGTTTTGAAAGACAGGCAAAAAAAAAGTATAGGAGAAAGCTAAAGAATGTACACTTTTTTAAAACTACTACATTTTGCTCTATGTAAAAGAAGTAGGTAGAAATTTACTTTGTTTATCAAAACTAGGGATTAAAATCATTGAGAGATTTTAAAAAAGGAACACAATATATTCAGCACCCACAAGCTGAGAGCCAAAATGTTTGGCATTTAATAAAAAATTAGCAAGCAGGAAGACATTATCCATAATGGAGAAAAAAATGTATCAATTGAAACTGACATAGAAATTGCACAGATGATAGAATTAGTTGAAAAGGATATTAAAACCACTATTATAACTATATACGTTAAACACAGGAAGCAAGAGGAAAAAATTTAACATGTTAAGTAGAGACGTGAAAGATATAAAAAGACCCAAATCCAACGTCATCTATAATACATGAAATGAAAAATAAGATGGTTATGATTAATGGCACATTAGATATCACAAATAAAAATGATTAGTGAACTTGAAGACATTTCAAAAGATAGTATCTAAAATGAACAATACACAGGGAATAAAGAATAAAAATGATAAACAGAGCATCAGTGAGCTGTGGGACAACTTTAAAAAGCTTAATATACATGTAATGAGAGCCACCAATGGAGAAGAGAGAGAGATGGGAACTAAAAAAATTTGAAGAAAACATGACCAAAAATTTTCAAAATTGGTATGGAAACTGTAAGTCTATAGATCCAAGAAACTCAATGAACCCTAAGCAAAACAGAACTAACCCACATCTCATAAACAAATTTCTTAAAACCAGTGGTAAATAGAAAATGTTAAAATTAGTCAAAGAAGAAAGACACATTACATAAAAAGGGAAAAAAATGAAATTGACCATTTCTCATGTGAACAGCATAATACAGAAGTGAGGGGAATAATGTATTTAAAATACAAGAAAAAACTTTCAATTTAAGCATTTATACCCTATGAAAATAACTTTCAAAAATAAAGGCCAAAAAAAAAATGAAATTTTGAGACTTTTTTTTAAAGCAAAATAATTCATCACTAGCTGACCCACAATACAAGTCCTGTTAAAGGAAGTCTTTCAGGCAGAAGAAAAAATGATTCCAGATGGAAATAAGGATCTGCACAGAAGAATGAAAAGCACAGGAAATGGTAACTGTGTATATAAATATATGTTTTTTTTCTTGTTATTTAAATCTCTTTAGAAGATAATTGGCTGTTAAAAATAGCAATAGAGTGTGGAGTTTATCACATATGTAAAAGTAAAGTATATAACTGATGAAGTTCTAGAACCTAGGTGAGTTTCGGTGGGCTGAGGTCCAGAGCCGATGACCAAGAAAGAATTCTTGAGATATCTTTGGTGCAAAATGGTGGTTTATTAAAGCACGGGGACAGGACCCGTGGGCAGGAAGAGCTGCTGCCCCCGGTTGTGAGGGATGGCAGGTTATGTACCTTGCGGTTGGGGGAAGGGGAGGGGAAGGGAGGTTTCAACGGAACTTTCATATGCTAAAGAGGGTCTACAAGGTGTGGAGGACTTGCCCTTGCAGCTTGATCAATGTTGTCTTTAGGCCAGCCATTAATATCAAGATAGTTGGGAGATTCTTGATGGGACGTCACAATCCTGCTATCAATCGTCTTTGTTAGTGAGATTTAGGTTTAGAAGAGATTTAACTATATTTACATTCCCTTCTACCTCAGCCTCCTTCAGTTTTGTTTCTGGTGGGGAGGGAGACGTTAGGGCTTGAGGAACGGAGTTATTTGCCTCTGGAAATCGTGCTATTGATAAGGTAACTTCTTTGTTTGTAGATCTCTAGGACATTTGTAAACCAAGGGAGACTCCTGTCTTGTAGGATTGTTATTTCTGCAAGTTAACTATTTGTTTCTTATGGCGGTCAGGGGTGCCTGAGGAATGCTACACATATTACTGAGGGGGAGTGGATGGAGAGGGGGTGCAAGGTGCCAGCTTTTGCTTTGTCCTCAGTCAGCTTCCTGCTCCATCATAACAATAGCACAAAGCTTAGTCGGGGAGAAATGGAAGTTTCTATTTTAAGATTCTTATACTATTTGATATGGTATGATATGTACCATACCGTCACTGGAAGGTAGCTGTACCAAGTTTTAATTTTATTCTGTACACCCTAAACCAACCAATAAAATAAGAAAGGGTTACAGCAAAGCAGTCCAGACTAAGCCACTGTAGCATAAATAATTCTTCTGAGTTGAGGGCATTTGAGTTCCTGAAATCCTTTATTTGCCTAAAAACAAAACCTCCAAAAGAACTCAATTGTCATAAATCCCCTCCCAGGGAACAACTCAAATCTTCTCTTTTTAGAGTGAAGTCAGCACCACACCCAAGCAGACATTGTAACAAAACTATCATATCTCCTATCTATTCTCCTAAGGGCCCATTTAGCTTTCCAGAAAGTCATTTGTTTTTCAACAAGTGTTCTTTCTCCCCACCCCCACTTCTAAGAAGTCATTTGTTTTTCCTAAAGTGCCCCTGTGCCCCTCCCCATCCACTATTAAGGTGGTAAATGAGCCCCAAATTCTAATCAACAACTTGAGTCACATTTCTTTGTGTGAGCCTATAATTAAATCAATTTTTTTTCTTACTAATCTGTTTTTTTTTTTATTTTAACTTGTAGGCCTCCAAGCCTTAAACATAAGAGGGTAAAAGAAACATTTTTCCTTCCTGACAATGGCTACTAATCCAACAAATGAGATAAGATGGAATCAAACATTTTTCAATTAAACCAAAAGAAGGAAGAAAAAGGAAACAGAAAAATAGACAAACAATAAACAAATAGCAAGACAATAGATTTAAATTTGATCTTATCACTAATAAATGATAAATAATACCAAATACTAAATAATACTAAATAATCTAAATGCATCAATTAAAAGGACATAATTATCAAGTCAAATAAAACAAAAAAAAAAGAAAACAAGACCCAACTAAATGCTGGCTGTAAGAAAAATACTATGAATATAAAAACACATATAGGTTAAAAATTTTTAAAGACAGAAGAAAATATACCATGGTAACTAACACCAATGAAAAGAAAGCTGGAATGGTTGTATTTTATTTTATTTTGTTTTGTTTTTATTTGACACACAGAGAGAGCACAAGCAGGGGGAGCAGCAAAGGGAGAGGGAGAAGCAGGTTTTCCATTGAGCAGGGAGCCCCCCAATACCGGGCTCAATCCCAGGACCCTGAGATCATGACCTGAGCTGAAGGCAGACGCTTAACCAACTGAGCCACCCAGGTGCTCCCGGAATGGCTTTATTATCAGACAATGTAGATTTCAGAGCAAAGAATATTACCAAGGATAAGGAATTTCACTTCATAATGATAAAGGGTTCAATTCATCAAGAGAACATGACCGTCTTAAATGTTTATATAGCTGCAGAGTTTCAAAATACATGAAGCAAAAACTGATAGAACTCTAAGGAGAAATAAACAAAATCACAATTATAGGCAGAAATTTCAATATCTTCCTCTTAATAGTTTCCAGAACCAGTAGACAGAAAATCAGTAAGGATATAGATTTTAACAACTTGACCTAATTGACATTTATAGAACACTCCATGAAAGAAGTGTAGAATGCACATTATTTCCAAGTGCACATGATGTATTTACCAAGATAGACCATATTCTGAGTCATAAAACTAGTCTCAATTAATTTAAAAGGATACAAGTCATATATACATATATCCTCTAACTACAGGGAATTAAATTAGATTGTCAGAGAGATCTTTGGAAAATCCTCAAATATTGAAACTAAGTAAGACACTTCTAAATAACCTGTAGAGCAAAGAAGAAATCAAAGAGAAATAAGAGAGTAACTGAATGAAAATGGAATAACATATGCAAATTCGTGGGATGCCATTAAAGGGGTATTTAGGAGGATTTTAGAGGACTAAAAGCCTATGTTAGAAAAGAAAAAGGGCTTCAAATCAATGACTTCAGCCTCCAAACTAAAAAATTAGAAAAGGAGAGCCCACTAAACCCAAAGCAAGTAGAAGAAAGGAAATAATAATCAGAGTAGAAAAAACAGAAAACACAAAAACACAACAGAAAATTAATGAAATGACAAACTGCTTCTTTGAGATCAATAAAATTGATTAATCTCTAGCCAGACTGATCAGGAGGAAAAAAAAAATAATAGTGAAATTACCAGTATCCGGAATGAGAGAGCTGACATCACTAAAGCTTCTTCAGATACTGAAAGGATAAGAACTGAGTATCATGAACAACTTTAAGCCAATAAATTCAACAAGGTAAAGTGGACAAATTCCTTTAACAACACAAACTATCAATGCTCACTAGAGAAGAACCTGAATAGCCCTATATCTACTAAAGAAATTGAGACTGTAGTTTT